CCTCAGCCTCCCAAAGGCGCGGGATTACAGGCTGAGCCACCGAGCCCGGCAAATACACACTGTAGTAAACATATTGCATGGGTGGGAAAGAAGACTAAGGGCTGAGTTCAAGCCTTCAATAGGGGAAGGGAATGACCAGGAGTTTGGTGGGTAACAGAAACAAAAAAGGAGAGAGGAAGATGATGTAGTCAGATTGTTTGGACCTCAAAGAAACAGGGATTTTTCAAGAAAGGAGATGTAATTGTTTGGAAGTGTTAGTGGGGACATAAATACCTACTGCACTTCTTGGAGTCCTTTAAGAAGACAGCGGAGGAAGCAGTATCCTCAACAACCAGCAGGTTCAGTTAAGTCAGATGGGTAGAGGAAATGTTTTTAAAAAGCAGCTGAGGATTTATAGATGTTTGCTGATTGGTGCAGTCGTACTACAGGGCAGAGTGGAAGGTTCAGGAGGGAGAAACAGTAGATGTGTGGGAAGGATTGGGGATATATATAGCAGTGTGGGGATGGTGGTTAGGGTAGTAATGGAAGACCAAGGCCCCTTGAACTTGGGTAGTACTGAAGTAAACAGATGTTCTGCAGAACAGAATTAGCCCCTATAGTCTCTGTGAAGGCAAGCACTTAGCTTCAGTGTTGTGGGCCTAATCCTTCCTGAGAGAATATGCAGCTTATCTCAGTGTCTCAAGGAATGACATGGCAGTTTCCAGGGAGGGCAGCCGGGGCTGAGGTCTCATGGTGACTTTTACAAGGTCGCATTGAGTTAGTAGCAAAGCAAGACTCCTAACACCGCACATCAACTCTGCTCACCACTCTTATTTGTCCATCTCAGTTATAGTGTTTGTTTACCTTCTTGCCGGCAAAGCTGGATCCATTAGATCAGTAGAGAAAAGAATCTTGCCGGGGGAAAAAGAAAACCCTTGAAACTAGACAGCGTTTCTACTTTGAGACCATTCCAGGCTCATAGCAGGTCTGTGCAGAAAGGATGAAAAATAACTGTGCTGCCCACAGGCCTGGAGAGCAGTGGCTTAGTAGGGTCTGTATGACTATGACAGTGTCTTTACTCTCATGCATGTGCTCTGTCCACAGGGTCATGTCGGTACAACAGCAACCAAGAAGATTGATGTCTACCTCCCCCTGCACTCGAGCCAGGACAGACTGCTGCCAATGACCGTGGTGACAATGGCCAGTGCCAGGGTGCAGGATCTGATTGGGCTCATCTGTTGGCAGTATACAAGCGAAGGACGGGAGCCGAAGCTGAAGTAATCCTTTCTCTTTTTGGCTGCTCTAGTTTCTGGTGGTCTCCTGCCCACCCAAGCTGGATCCAGCTAGGGTGCTCACCAGACACACAGACCTGAGTGTCTCAGGCTTGTCTCAGAATCTGCTTGCAAAGTAGACTTACATGTTTATGAACCCAGATTTGAAAAAATGGATTTTAGTAATTCCCAAACCCTTTGATGATCCCTGCTGATAAAAGCAGCATGGGGATAATGGGAGGAAACTGATGTTTGCTGAGCACCTACCATGAATTGGGCACTGGGCTGGGCATACCTGGTATCTCGTGTGATTCTCCCAGCTTCCTGTGAGGTGAGTGTTATAATCCTCGTTCTGCAGAGAGAAATTCCGGTTCAGAGAGTTGTTACTGAAATTACATATGGGAGATGGCAGAGTCAGAATTTGATTCCAGGTCTGTTTGATGCCAAGGGTTTTGCATTATTTCCTTCTGCCTCTTATAGAAACTTTGGTCTGAAATTTAGTTTTCTTTAGCAGATAGTGGCTCGAGTTTTCTCTCAGTCACTGGGCTATATTACTTAGTAAACAATTATATTAAAAACATAGTGCTTGAAAGTAGAATCTCTAGGCCTCTGTATTATAACTTGAACTTCAAAGTGTTTTGCTGCATTGGCTCTCCCCTACTTGAATTTCTTATGGGCAGGCATCCTTCTAGCATTACATGATCTTTCCAGCAATAGGGTTTGTATTGTAGCAAAATGTCGTGGATGCCTTCATTTTAACAATGGATTCTCATGGAGGTGTTCTCTTCCTCTCTTACATTTTCAGTTAGCATGGTCCACTCAGCTGTCAGTTGTTTTTTATTTTTCTTTGGGTACATTAAATTCACACATAAAATTATTGTTTCGAGTTCTTATTGACATTGCCCTCTACTTTGCCTGAATAAGTTGTAGGTACAAAGTTAGTCTTTATTGTTCTGGTGGGAATAGAAGGCCTTTTCACTAAGATATAACCTGGGCTTAGAAAAGGGTTGAGTCGGGAGGAGGGAGGGAGGAAGGGGACAAAAAGAAGAAAAGAAAAGGATTGAGTCAGCACCTCTCCTCAAGATTGAGCTATGATGTCCCTTTTCAGCATGAGGTGGGAATGAGGAAACAGGAAAGGGAGTCACAAAACTAATGACTTTGTGTACATTGTCTGGTTTAATTCTTCATTGTTTAGTGCAGGCACTGAAACCCAGAGAAGAACTTACCCAGCTAGTAAGGCACAGGAGTTGAATTGTGACAAACATTTTAACACATGAGGAAACTAAACTTAGAGAGGTTAAGTAACTTTCTTAAGTCACACAGTGAGAGCATTGGTATTTAAACTCCACAGTCTCTGACTCCAGAACTCCAGTTCTTCACTAGTGCATTATACACCCTACCATGGAACTCTGTTATAGGTAATATTGAAATATTTACTGAGTTTGTACTTATTTCAGGCACTGTGCTAGATCTGGAAATACAGAAGTGAAAAAAGCAATTCCTGCCATCAGGGACCTTACTGTCTAAGGTAAATAGGCAATAAAAATAATACAGTTACGTGTAAAACCCAGTACTATAAGATCTAACCCCATATTTTGGGGTGAGTGGAGTAACGAAGACCTCCCTAGATTAAATGACATCTAAACTGAAACTTGAGGAAACAGCAGGAAAAAGCCATGCAGAGATGCTGAGAGAAAGATGTTTTAAACAGAGGGAGAAACATGGACTACTGGTTATGCTTGACCTTTAAGATAATATTTAAATTCTATATTCTGCTCCAAATGCATAGTAATAGTAAATGAAATATGTCATCAAAATATTTGTACATTAATGACAAGGTAAACATCCTGGTGGACTAGAAGCAGAAACAGGCAGCGTGTGCTAGGAGTCTATGATTTTAGGAAGCAGCTCTTCTTAGAACATGCTATGAGTTCGTTTATTAGTATATGAAGTGCTGATTTTTCTCAAGCTTCAAGGCAGCTAGTCAGCACCTGGGTAGTCAGAGGCCCCAGCCAATTCTTCTCAGGTCAGGGGGCAGTCTCATCCATCTACCTGTGCACTATACAAATACTGTTATTTTCTAAGTGTGTCATGGTGTCAACAAGAGTAGGAAACACTGCTTGAGGGTATGAGACTCAAGGAGCTTCCTGCCTGGATGAGGACCAGAGGAAATTTCACTATGTGAAACTAGGAGCTGGGGTGAGACACTCCTCCCTATGAAAAAAAACTGAACAAATCTGCCTGAGTCTGTGGCTAGTTTAAAGTTGTATTTCTGGAATGCCAGGCAATAGAGATAGCAGTGCATCCAGGACGAGCTGGATGATATTCCAGTTTATGATATTCCTCATATTAGCAGAGGACAGGAGCCCTGAACTGTCAGTATGATACCTAGTTCTGGTCTGGAAGCCTCTGCATGGCTGGGAGTTGAAGATGATGACACTATCTATAAAAGCATTAGATAGTGAATGGCGAGGAAGAACAAGCAAGAGTTCACATTCAAAAAGAGCTAGCAAATTAAAATTTCAAAGTGGCATCTAAACTGAAACTTGAGGAAACAGTAAGAAAAATTCATGCAGAGATGCTGAGAGAAAGATGTTTCAACGCACATGAGAATAACTAGTACCAAGAAAGACAGACAGTAATCAGGAGATGAATTCAGAAACAGAATATAGTTAAGCAGTCTGAAAGTTAATTTCAAATAAATATGTTTAAGGTCATCAAAGAGATGAAGGAGGGAATAACATGGTAAACATCTAGGAAATAATGAAACAGAACTAAGATTTTAGTTTAGAAAAAAACTAAACCAAAAGTACAGTACTGGAAATATAAAATATTTATTTTAGAAAAAAGATTTTAGTTTAGAAAAAGACTAAACCAAAAGTACAGTACTGGAAATATAAAATATTTATTAAAGTAAAAAATAATTGCTGAGAGCTGAGGTGCATTCCTGTAATATCAGTTGTTTAGAAGGCTAAGGCAGGAAAATCGCTTGAGCCCAGAAGAAGTTCAAGACCAGCCTGGACAACATAGCAAGAACCTGTCTGCAAAAAAAAAAAAAATTGCCGGGTACAGTGGCTTCCAGAACTTTGGGAGGCCAAAGTCAGAGGATCGCTTGAATCCAGGAGTCTGAGATCAGCCTGGGCAATATAGTGAGACCTCATTTGTACAAAACAGAAAACAACAGCTCAACAGTTAAGAATACAGATAGTCAATCAGAAAATGGTCAAAGTCATGAATAGACTTATCACAGAAGAGGATATACAGATGACAGATGAGCACTTGAAAAGATGTCCAGCAACATTAGCCTTTAGGAAGATGCAAATTAAAACTACTCATATTAGAATGGTTAAAATAAAAAAAAATGATGATGGCAATTGCTGGCAAGGATGTAGAGAAACTGTTTCATATATCGTTTCTGTTGATAATATAAAATGATACAGTAATTCTGGAAAATACTTTGGCAATTTCTTATAAAGTCAAATGTGAACTTACCATACAACCTAGCAATTGCCCTCTTGGACATTTATTCCAGTGCAGTGAAAAATTACAATAACACAAAAACTTGTACACAAATATAGCATTTTACATTACACAAATATTCATACACCTTTTTTGGTAATACTTAAAACGGGAAACAATCTAAATGTCCTTTAACAAGTGAATAATTAAGCATTGTGGTATGTCCATACAAGGTAATGGTACTTATTAATAAAAAAAGGAACAGACTGGTTTTTTTTTTGAGTTGGAGTCTTACTCTGTTGCCCAGACTGGAGTGCAGTGGCTGCTCCCAGCCACCACAGCCTCGACCTGCTGGGCTCCGGTGATCCTTCCACCTCAGCCTTCCAAGTAGCTGGAACTACAGGTGCGCGCTACCACGCCCAGCTTATTTTGATTTATTACAGAGATGAGGTCTTGCCAAGTTGCCCAGGCGGGTCTCGAACCCATGGGCTCAGGCAATCCACTCACCTCAGCCTCCCAAAGGCGTGGGATTACAGGCAGAGCCACCGAGCCCAGCAGGAACAGACTGTTTTGATACATGCAATAAGACTTGGATGATTTGCTTAGTGAAAAAAGCCAGTGTTAAGGTTTCAGACTATATGGTTCCATTTATTTAACATCCTCAGAATGACAAAAGTATAGAGATGGAGAACAACTGAATGGTTACTAGGGGACAGGGTCAGTTTTAGGGAGGGAGTGCAACTATAAAGAGTTGATTTAAAAAAAAATTTCTCTGTCATATGGAACAGTTTTGTATTCTGGTAATGATCCATACATGTAATCAAATGTGTAGAACCACACACATACACACACACACACACACACACACACACACACAAACACACACCCTCAAATACAAATTAGTACTTGTAAAAACTGCTAAAAAGTGAATAGAGTCTATAATCTTGTTAACAGTAGTGTACCAGTGTCAGTTTCCCTGCTGTTGATATTGGACTACAGATAGATGGGATGTCACTATTGGAGAAATCTGAGCAAAAGGTTCAGGGGACTGACTCTGTACAGCATTTCGCCAACTTCCTGTGAGTCTATAATCGTTTCAAAAATAATATTTAAAAGAGAGTACTTTTTAATAAAAGCACATTCCATTTGCCAAACAGCAGAAATAAACGTTACAATAGATGCCAGAAGACATTGGTATCCCTTCAAAGTGCCAAGGTAAACCATAAACCATAAACCCTGACATTATGATGATTATTCAAGACATCTCTTGACAAGGCCATGAGATTTTTATCATGCACCTTCTTTCATTTAATATAGTTGGTTCTGAAACTTAGCTAGGCATGGTGGCGCATTGCTGTTGTCCCAGCTACTTGGGAGGCTGAGGTGGAAGGATCGACTGAGCCCAGGAGGTCTAAGCTGTGGTGAGCCTTGATTTTCTAAAACAAAAACATTTAGTGAGAAAAGTTGTATTTCATCTTTTTACAAAAGTTCTGTAAAGTTTAATATATTAGAAGATAGCTGGACTTTCATATCTGCTCTACATTTAA